TAGAAGCAGAGACTAACAGTTCGAGCAACTTGGGATTGCCGTTTGCCATCGAATACAGCACCTTGTTGAGGTGCTCCATAGCCTCAATGGCAGCGGAGGGCCTTTCTGTAGCAGAAGAAGCTTCGAATAAGGCTTTCTGGTATTCCACTCTCGTGCGCTCTGGCAGCGGCAAAAAAACCAAGTGCGTCGTCTTGCGTGGAAGTGCACGGAGGTCCATCTCGCGTTGCAACATGAAGGTGCAGGTGAAGGCCTGCAACTCAGACAGCTGTTTGTCCGCTTCGCCAATCTTCTCCACTGTTGCGCCCGGTTCTCTTGCATCACGAATAGTAGTCAGACTCACATCAGGAATCTCTTGACCGGGGCATATTAAGGCCGCAATCGAAAGAAACTCCACCAAATCATTTTGAATCGGAGTCCCAGTGAGTCCTAAGCGAACAGTACATGGCCAAGCCAGGAATCGCTTGTAGCGCTTGGACCGTTTGTTCTTGATCAAATGTACCTCATCGAGGATCAAAAGTCCAGAAGCACATGGTGGCTGCTGGCTGTCCATAGACAAGATCTTCACTGCCGGTGGGACGGCACCAAATACATGCTGCAGCTCCGCTCGCCATTGATCCATCAAAGCTGCAGGGCAAACGATGTGGACGATAAAACTCGGGTCAGCAAGCACGAAAATACATGCTAAGACTGCTGCCTGAAATGTCTTGCCCATTCCCATTTCGTCAGCGAGAAGGCATCCCCGGTGGCGGAGTAGTGTTTGCAACATCCAATCGCAACCGGTGAGCTGGTGCGGCTTGAAATACCCAGCGTGTCGAGCTTTGAGGAGAGCAGCTGCTGCGTGAAGACAGTCTTCCTGGGGCAATGGCAGGCCTTGCAATCCACCCGGACCAGACTCTTCGCACCCCGCAGGAGGCAACCCGAGCAACTCTTCCATGGTTGGTTGGGCTCCCGGACCAGACTCTTCGCCCAGTGGCGCCTGCAATCACTGTACTCATTGCTGGGAGGGCTTTCGGGGTAAGCAAGCTAATTATATTAAGGCCCCTAATTCTGACGAAATCCTTTTAGTGCAATCATGAGTTGTAGCTTCTTTAATGGGCGCCGCGAACCTCCGACCGTACACAGCCCTCAGCAGGTTCAGCAGGCTGCAGGCCAAACTCTTCGAAAGCTAAAGAAGCGCCCTCATCTGACGCATTCGACACCAGCTCCATATCCCATGGGCCAGTGTCGGACATGAAATTACATGGCAAGTGGCTAGCACAGCTTCAAGAACTGTATTTCTCATCATAAGAAACCAAAACCTATGTAAACAATAAAACGAACCAATAAAGTACCCGAGGCTCAGTGCGATACCTTTCTTGTTACGGGGATCTTGCACTTCTTTCTTGATTGCCCAGTGGTTTCATTCTAGTGCCGTCGCTACTGTAGCCGTCCTACAAGCTCGAGCATGTTCCGGCAATGTGTTGCACTGCAGGAAGGAACAAGAGGGCAGTGCTGCACGAACCGGGACCGCCAACTTGGATTTGGGGTTTAGGGTTTCGAGTTTTGAGGTTCCGGGTTTAGGGAAGCCTAGATCGATCATCGACGGTTTCCGGTTCCTGACACAGGTAGACCTTCAGAGCCTCAATCTAGTAGCACCAAAGCGGTAATCCTGAAAACTTACAAACGCTGCTAACCCTTAAACGAACCTTAAACCCTCCATATAACCCGGGCTCTAGTCTCAAGTGCCCCAAGAGGTAGGGGTCTATAAGGGATGTAGAGAGATTTACAAGTGTTTGGGGCTCAGGGCTCAAGGCTTCCTAACAGTTTATGACCAAGCTGTAGAGCTACATCAGAGTTCTTCCAAGTTCTGGGCCTTCTTGTGAATTACTTGAAATGAAGAGTCTACATACCTATGAGCTGTACCCAACAGGGACCATCATTGGAAACGCCCTTGTATGGAACTGGTACACAACCCTTGGAGAACTGCTGAATTCCCTTCAACCGCCCTCGCATGCCCCTAAACCCTAACTAGCCTAAACTTAGCCGTATACCCGTAAACCGTAACCCCAACTACCCCCTAGGCTTAGCCCTAGACCCTAACTAACCTCAGCCCGAAACCCTACGTGTGCTAAACACAGGATCCTTGCCAGGCCTGTCTCGGGTACGTAGGCGTAATGGCTCCTGCGCAGAGAGGTCTTGGTCCAGGGAACATGTGACAGGAGGAGCTTCAGTCAGGCCGACTTTTTGGAGCCTAGCTCTTCTTACTCTTCTTGGAGGCACGGATCTTGTCAGCTGCTTCTGCAGCCTTGCGCTTGGCCGACACCACGCCCTCTCTCCAAGCCTGCAACTTGCGAAGCTTCGCTTCGTCTGTCACCTTCTGAGGAACATGAGAGCTGTCTGGAATTGCATCCAAATCAATAACTTCGGTAGCCTGAGCCTCAGCCTTCGCGGATTTGCGGTCTACGCGGCCGGAGGAATTCAGGCCAAACTTCTGGTAGTCACCTAATATGTGGTTCAAAAGCGTTGCTTTGTTGCTACTTCTGTGGGCTTGCCTTAGCGCATTCCAGCAGTACTCAGAACGGCTCACTCGTCGGACAGCCGGGGCTTGCGACAATCGAGCCTGCAAGTACGCCTGCTGCAGCTGAAACAACTGGAAGTCCAGAGCTTGCACGATCAATTCGCGTTTGCTCTTCATCTTGGCTTCATGCTTGAAGATTTCCTGCGCAGCCTGCTGAAAGTAGAGGGACTGGTCCGCGTTGTTGGGCCCGGGCTTGCTACACAACCGAACCAAGGCACCGGTTCCGTCAGGCTGGCAGTCGGCCAGATTCAATTCTGGCAGAGGGCCTTGAGGAGCCTCGGCCTCCACCAGCTCAAGAAGCGTCCTAGCCCGGAGGGAGCGCAGCTTGTCTGACGCGGCTCTGCAGACTTCCAGCTCCTGCAACTGTTCCTGTGTCGGGGGCGAGGAGGCAGCATCCTTGGCGGGTTGCAACCACTTCCAATCAATGTCCAGCCAGGCTGCAGGGCTGGCCCTGCCACCGTGGCGATCCACACCGGACGCGCATGGATGCTTGTACTTGTGCTCCGCACGTACTTCAGCCTGAAGCTTCTGCAAATCATTCACGGCGAGCAAGACCTGCCACAGGGCTCATGTGTTCTTCGTCTTTCGCCTGACCAAGCAAGGCCTCTTCGGAGGTGTGCGTGCTGATAGCTGTTGCAGCTTCTGGTGTCAATGCCCCGCAGCGGATATGCGCCGCGAGGCACCTTATGCAGGGGTGCATCGTAATTTGATGATTCGCTGCTGGACCACCAGTACTACTACTACTACTA